CTCCAGCAATCGAGACAATCAACGTGCCCAGCACGAGTAAGGACTGCTCACAGTGAAGCCTGACAACAAGCGCGCCTTGCACCATTCACGGAACTTCCTCAGCGAAGTCACACTCCAAGCATGCTCTGCTTCACTCACGGGACTTCCTCAACGAAGTCATTCTCCAGGCGTGCCTTGTACCACTCACGGGACTTCCTCAGCGAAGTCATTCTATGCGTGCCTAGCACCACTAACGGAACTTCCTCAGCGAAGTCATTCTATGCGTGTCTAGCACTACTCACGGGACTTCTTCTTTGAAATCAGAGACCACGCTAGCTCTCCCATTCTGGAGGCTACTCCGTGCTATCACATTTCTTTTAGCAATTTCTACAGTGACCTGCGTAAGCTGCTGTCTTCTCAGCGACGGCATCAGTGACCGGTGTGAGCTGCTGTCTTCCCAGCGATGGCATCAGTGACTGGTGTGAGCTGCTGTCTTCCCAGCGACAGCATCAGGTACCTGTGTGAGCTGCTGTCTTCGTCAACGGTACCGGTGTGAGCAACTGTCTTCGTCAACGGCACCTGTGTGACCTGTGTGAGCTGCGTGAGCTGCCTTTGCAGCTAACAACATTCACAAGACGACAAGCATTCCAGCCCTCACAGCTAAGTGGCACTCAGATCCTACACGACGCTTTAACAACGCGAGCGACTTGATTGTGCAGAACGTGGTCAGGAAATATACTCATTTGTCAAAAGCTATTCGTCTGCGTCGATCCCTCTGTTTCCTTAACCGTTTTTACATTTTAAACACAGTTAAACAGATGGCAAATAAACTTCGATCTTGATACGCGAAAACATTCAAACTCGTTCAAGAAATATATAAAATGATTCCTTCTTTTGGAACAGATAACTTTACCGAAATTTATCGGAACCAAATAACGAATTACGATATACTTATAGACAGGAAACTATCTACATTTCTAAGCATAAGATTTCTTAATATAGCCAATTGGATGATGGAATGAGCTACGGCAATAAATGTGTACACGTTTCAACGACATCAAACTTCCTAGGCTTCTATTTCCCTTCTAAAAATAATGCATGCTAAAAACATAATACTAAAAAAAAGATCACGTACAATTACATATTGGTACCACTTGAATACGATTCTGTTTTTAAGATTTGTTACATTTTTGGAATAATTTAAGACATGTAAAAATTTTGTTCTTGTCACTTGTAGTAACAATTTACAAGCGTAAAATTATATTGAATAAACTTATTACCTTAATCAAATATTGGTCCATTACAACGCTCGAAAGTGATTCATCACAATCGCAAGCATAAATAATTCTGTTTCGATACTTCTTTTCAATAATATAATTCTCCTTCTGTTTGAGCGATTTCCTATTATTCTAATTATTGGAATTATGGATACGAAAGACGTTAGGCTTCTTGTCCACATAAAATAATTTATTATTCTATTTTTAGATAAGTACAACGGCTCACCTGTTTTTTTATACTGGCAAGAAGTCCTAACGTCTAATGTTCTCACGCTCTATCGCGGCTATTGTGACACGATAGTTTAATGTTGTTTTTCCTGGCCGCTGATCCGTGTGCCTGTTATGTTCGGTGTCCTCCAAAAACGATCACTTTATCAATGCTTAATAATTTCACCGTTTTTAGAATAATTACGTCAGAGCAAACAGCTCACCGTTCAAAGTGATTGGCCCACATTCGCCATCACTTTTCTATAAAACAGGTCCGCCGTCAGCGGGGAAGACAGTGGATTAGCCAGTGCAAGTTAGTGCGACATTAAATTCATTCACATAGTGCATGTTACAATCACTGCATTGTCAGTGCGTTACTAAACTCAACAGTACGTCAGTGCGTAGTACTGCGTATGTATAGAGTGTTTCAAAATTATTGGTCGCAACCACCATAGCGAGAGTCTGCATTGTCGGATCGGTGAAGATCTGTTTGAAAAATAACGTGCAAAATTGTCCTTGACCGGTTTTTTCAAGGTCAAAGTTTTTTATTGTCGCATTGTAATCTATTCATCGAGAGGATAAAAAGTCTCCAAGGAACCTGTCGGAAATGACCCGTTCTCCTGAAAAACGATTACATACATCTAATTATTATTAAACGCCATATATGTAATATGTTTATAT